CACAGCCAATAATAAAACTTGCTTGTATTTCCCATACAAAAAAGTACCATCAATTTGGACAATTGGTTTACAGTACTTGACTGCATTAATACACTGAGGGTAAGTCCAAAGACTCGGTAAAATTGGCAGCGATCGCGAACCATTCGATCATTCACGTAATGATGTTGAGTTTCGAACTCAACAATTGTCCCGGGATTAAGTCTTTGCACAACATGAAACCAACTGGGCAGCTCGTTGTAAGAGGAATCCCATTCACCATGAAGTTTGCAAATGGCATTCTGTTTTGCCAACCACGCTTTTTTATATGAGACAGTGTACCCATATTGGGACTGTATAGCAGAAATCAACACTGCAACAGCTATATGAGAGCTTTGCTTCACAATGGGCATGATTGCTTGACAAATAATGTTGGAGTCCAAGTTGGGATGATCCTGGTTTATACCTGTTGCACAACATGTATGAGGACCGTTGTATCTGGTTAGTTCCCATAAGTTGTTCTTCCTCTTCCTCTTTGATACACGGACCATCCATTGACATCCGTTGTGACGTTGGACGCAGTAGCAGACATATTTCTCCGTGTTAGATCGATCAACTCGGGACTGAACTGAGTTACGAATATTGTAACTCTTTATTGCCATCATTGCTTCCTCCTTCGATGCGAACTCCATTCCAATATGTAAATTACCGTCATTGACTGATGATTGAAGTCCATAGTTTCCAACATCAGGAAGATCTGGAAATTCAGGCTCATACATTGCATCATAATCAGCCTCATACATATGTGCAGGAAGTTCGGCTGGTGTTGTATTTATCGGAACGTCATCCTCGTCATCATCAGAATGTACGTTAAACTGTGGTGAGTCAGGTTCAACGAATAATCCCGTTTCAGCACCATCTGCACCTGGCTCCCGAAGAGGTTCTTCTGGTGGAGATGAGGGTTCCTCCGATAATCCAATGTTGAGGTCAAATAAGTTCCCGCTTGCGTGTCCTCCCCTTGAACTTGAGGCCATTGTATCATGTGGGATGTGAATAGACTGTCGTCTCGTTGGCATTTCCATATGTAAGTCGAAAACATTGGCAGATGAATGTCTGCCCCTTGAAGTAGAAGAGATGTTGCCATATGGATTATTGGTGAAGCCACGTGGGTTGAGATCATAAGCAGTTGCAGATGAATGCCTTCCTATTGAACTTGATGGCATGGTATATGGCGTTGGATCCGCCATTAATGATGTGAAATCATTACAGATAAGTTGTGTCGGGCTATCAACTTGATCAGTTTGATATGCAATGCCAAAGTGAGAGGAATATGAGAGACCACGAGTTACACGAACCTCAATAAAAGTGGCATACATTTCAATAAGAGATTGTGAACTCCCCATATGAGCATCAACCATCATAGAAACATCATCATCGTTTGAAAGCTGAAATGATGTATACGTGAGCGGAAAAAGTTCAGTAGGAAATCTGTATTGAAGTGAAGATAGTCTTCTCTGGCCTGCTACACGAATCTTTAACGAAATTTTTGTGATTAACTCCTCAATTGTGATGTTTCTCTTCAAGGTTAAGGGGATATAATGATCTGACTCAAAAACAACCCCCTCTTCAGCTTCCTTAATTTCTCCATCATACAAAACAACAGCAGAAAGACGACTCATTTTCAGAGAATTTGAGAATTTAGAGTTTGGGAATTTGAGAATTTGAAAGATTGTGAACTGAAGTTTGTTTTGAAAGTTTATAATACGTTGCATATAATAGTTTCTATAATCGGTTCACTATTCACGTGAAGGCGCGTTCCCGGGGGCGCGCCTTCCATTATTTCGTCAGAGAATATTATCATTGCCCTATTATGTCATTCATGTCCCTCGGGGACACTAGATATATCAGTACCTACTATTTCACTATTCACGTGAAGGCGCGTTCCCGGGGGCGCGCCTTCCATTATTTCGTCAGAGAATATTATCATTGCCCTATTATGTCATTCATGTCCCTCGGGGTCACTAGATATATCAGTACCTATTATTTCACTATTCACGTGAAGGCGCGTTCCCGGGGACACGCCTTCCATTATTTCGTCAGAGAATATTATCATTGCCCTATTATGTCACTCATGTCCCTCGGGGAATAACTTAAATTTAACTTCTTTTGAATGTTCAACAAGTTAAGAATAACTTAAATTAAAACGTTATGTGAAGTTTGAATAAATTAGATAAAATGTTATTGATAAATTGAATAAATGTGAAGTGATAAGTTGATTGTGACATTTAAATTGTATGGAATGAGCATTGAAATGTGACATTGAATAAATTGCCAATTCACCCCCCTCTTGGTTGATTACGTCGATCGATGAACTCAACATAAGTTGATTTTAATGTATACGTTTTAATATATATGTTAATGATAAAATCATATGTATGGAGTCCTTTAATTTCAATTTAAAGGGGCTGAAGGGCCTGTATAAAATAACGACCCTGGAGGAGTGCTAGTAACAATCCCACCGCTCCCCGGGAACTGTGGAAACTATGGAAACATTGGCATCGATGTATGTGATCCAAATGAAGATTGAGGTGTCTGCGGAGAAGCACCACCAGCCAAATAAGATGCATATGAAGCATATGCTGGATCATTAAACATAGTCGTATATGCACCTCCATATGGTATAAAACCCTGCGGGCTAGGCATGTAACCTGGCGGGCTAGGCATATAACCTGGCGGGCTAGGAATGTAACCCTGCGGGCTCGGAATGTAACCCTGCGGAGATGGCATATAAACTGGTGGGCTTGGCATATGAAGTGGAGGGCTGGGCATGTACCCCTGCGGCATCGACGAATAAGGATGTTGTGGTGGGATTGATGCAGAACCGGTAGCGCCTTCTCTCCGTCCACGCGTCGGGGGACGATGATATTGAGACGGTTGACGTCTTTCTCGGCGCCTAGGAATGTTAACCCCTCGTGCTTCCGCCGAAAGTAGAAACGGCTTCCCATTTTCATTAAACCAGTCCATATAGTTATCCGTAACCATATGACCAGTTTCAGCGTAATATTGTCGAGGGGCCAACAGTGTATATCGGTTCTCCCAAAGCGCAATCCAATCTCTGTGTCTCACCACCCAGTTAACATCTTTCTTTCCCCGTCTATCTATGTTATGCACGTCGTCTAAATTTCTAGGAGCTCCAGGAATATATTGCGTACAACCATACTGACGGAGCACGCGATCAACTGGATGCCACTCAATAATAGCATAACATATAAGAGGTATAACCGATATCCATACCTCTAATGACCCTCTAAGGTGGGGTGGGATGCAAGCTTTCACTTCATCGCTCGCATAAGGTATCCACTGAAACTGAAATATAAATATACAATTCAAATAAATAAAATATTCTAATTATATCTAACATTTTAAATTAAAATATTAATAATTAAACAAATTTAAAAACATACCTCAGACCCAGCTTTCGTATCAATAAGTAAACGAATTTCCTCTAAAACAGTAGGTATACTTTTATGGTCCTTTCTTTTCATCGACCACCTATGAAATATAATATAAACTAAATATCACCCTATTTAATTGAAAATATTTAAATCAAAATTTAGTTCGAAAATTACCTCAACAATAAGGGGAATACGTATGGTTCATTCACGATCGGGCATAAGAAAGGCATGCGGAACCACGCCCATGATTGTAGAAGCAGAAGACATCCACCGATAGCAGTTTTCTTATAATTCGTCGCCCGACACATTTCTCTAAAGAGAAATGCCAAAACTGCAGCACCCCAACTATATCTTCCAGCTTCATCAAAATCGATCAGATGCCGCAACCACATACAATGCACCTGGTTGCGAGATTTGTCGGGCATCAATATTCCTCCAATTATTCGTAGAATATATGCCCGAGCACATGCCTTTGCTTGATCCTCTGAAGCATTTTCATTTAAAACCTCAAAATTAGCTTTCAACCAAGATAAAGCTATTCTACCTCCATTAAACTCTGGCAGAGCAGCTCCAAGATAATCAATGCACATTGATTGCCAATCACCATCCGCCATACCACACATCATATTTCCGTCGACGGGAAGCCCCAGATGCATAGAGACATCCTCCAACGTAATTGTTGCCTCTCCACATGGAAGGTGAAAAGTGTGTGTCTCGGGCCTCCACCTCTCAATCAGTGCAGAAATTAGGACAGGTTCGAGTTTGCAACCGCCTATAATTGTTGCAATATACCCGAACCCAGCAGAAGCCAAATATGGCAAAATACGTTCCGGTGTCGGTATACGTGGATTTTTAATAAAAGTTTCTAAAATACGATCAGCATCCTAAATAATATATATTATAAAAAGTAAAAATTAATATAAATTCATAATAACTTTAAAATAAAAATAATTTAAATATTAACATTAATTATAAAAAATATTACCATATCGCTAAAATGTCTGGAGATATGATCATTATCCAATCGCAACAGCATTTCGTTTTCCATTATAACTGTAGACAAAACAATATAATTAGCAAAAAATTAATAATTCTAAATAAATAATAATTATATAAATATTATTTTAATAATAAAATAATATTTACATAAATATATTAATATAAAAAATAATAACTATTTAAAAAAATACTAACATAAAAATAAATTTCTTACCACTAATAACAAATTTAAAACTCAAATAGTTGGAGAATTTGAGTTATATAAGAGAGGAGAAGATGATTTTGGTGTGAAGAATGAGTGAGGGTTGAGGGGGTTTATATAGGGGAGGAGGAGGGGTAGTTAGGAAAAACGGATGGGGGCATTAATGACATTTATGGCAAAGGCGCGTCCCCGGGGACGCGCCTTTCACACGTGGCATCCAACTCAGCGAAAACACGGGTAAAGCGCGTCCCAGGGACGCGCCTTTGCCAACTCAGCAGAAAGGATGCTAGTTTTGAAAATATTGGTCGAACGGTGTTAGAAAAGTAAAAATAAAAATAAACGGTGTGGGGGGTAAAAAAGCCCTCCTCTCTTCTCTTTCCCAAATCTCAACTTTCCGGCTCTTCTCTTCTCTCTTATCTCTTAAAACTCGGGAAAAGTGTGTGAATTTCACTGTTGTTGAAGTAGAAATGGAAGATCTTTCAAAAACCCTTCCTGGGTTCTCCTCCATGCTGCTCTAAATCACCTAAAAATCCTTTCCCCCATATTTTCAGCCATGGAAATGGAGATTCATCACTAATTAATAGACAGACGTTTCTTGCAAAGCAATGTGGAAAAGAAGGTAGATTCCTTTGCACTCTCTGATGATGGTGCCTGCATTGTCTCGTCCACCAACTCCTTCACAATCCCCCGCTGAAGAACCACAACAAGAAACAAATACCCATCGAAGAGAAAACCCAACAGCTAAAAGGCCTCCTCTTGAAGTTAATGGCTCAACTGTTACGAGGAAACCCAGAGGTAGACAAGTTTCTTCGAGATATTTGTCTCCGTCTCCTTCTTCTTCCACTTCTTCTTCAGCAGCCAAAACGCCGGCGAGATTTCCTTCACCTCTTATCTCTCGTTCCACTAATACGATGTCGACGGGTAACAAAACGGCTACGAGATTCCATTCTCCGCTTGTTTCTCGTTCAACAAACGCTAGTTCTACTATAACGACGTCATCTTCGCTTCCCAAACGGTCTCAATCTGTTGATCGGAGGCGGCCGGGGAGTCAATTGTCGCAAGGAAATAATGTTAATGGCACCACGGAAATGTCAGCTGCTACCAAGATGTTGATTACTTCAACGAAAAGTTTGTCGGTTTCTTTTCAAGGTGAGGCCTACTCCCTTCCGATCAGTAAGACAAAGGCTCAAGCGGGTTCTACTTTGATAAGGAAAGCAACTCCCGATAGGCGCCGAGCTACACCGGTGAGAGATCACATGGAGAACTCGAAGCCGGCGGATCAGCAACTCTGGCCGGGGACTCCGGTTTCGGGTTCGGGTTCGAATCCATTGTACAGGAGCTTGGATTGTAGTGGTGAAAAGAAGGTTTTCGGATCTGGGGCAGTGTTGGCTAAGTCATTGCAACAATCAATGATGCTTGATGATAGTAGGAGGAGGGTTTCCTTTGATGGTGGTTGTAGATTGAGTTTGGATTTGGGAAGTTCTGAGTTATTAAAAGAAGCTAATAAACAAAACCCAGATTCCAATTCTTTAAACGAGGTTCATTGTGAACTAGTTGCATCTGATACAGATAGTATATCTTCTGGGAGCACCAATTCTGGAAATGGAAGAAGTAGGAATTTGACAGGAAAGAACGGACCCCGTAATATTAATGTGTCTGCAAGGTTTTGGCAGGAAACTAATAGCCGGTTAAGGCGGTTGCAGGACCCGGGTTCGCCTTTGTCTTCAAGCCCAGGGTCTAGAATTGGTTCTTCAGCTAAGTTTAGTCAGTCAAAAAGGGTTTCTTGTGATGCTGCATTGGCTTCTCCTATGAGGGCTAGTATAAGACCCGCTTCTCCTAGTAAGCTTTGGACATCTTCAACTTCGTCTCCGTCAAGGGGGCTAAGTCCTGGTCGGGTTAGGAATGCAGTCGGTGGTAAAGAGACGATTGGTAATGCTGTTAATACCGCTTCAATTCTAAGCTTTTCTGTTGATATTCGGAGAGGAAAGAAGGGAGAGGATCGAATTATTGATGCTCACATGTTGAGGCTCTTTTATAATGGTTATTTGCAATGGAGATTTGCAAATGCAAGAGCAGATGCTACTTTCGTCATGCAGAAACTGAGTGCTGAGGTATGGTTACCCTCCCTGCCCACCTCATAATTCTCAATATGTACAATGTTCATGCATACATGATTTTGTTTGTCTATTTGATGAATGCTTTATTTTGTTTCACCAATGTTAGTTTGGCAAGTGTCCCTGTAGTTCTTGCAATATGTTCTTGTATTTGGGTGATAAATTGCTGAATTCATGCATAGTTCCTAAGAAAGTATTCCATGTTCAGATGCCCTTTTTATATTTCTAAAAGACTAGATTTAGTGACAGAAGGATCTTAAGGCAGTATGTTGTCATGCTTTTGAATAGTAAAAGTCTGATGTGGTCAATTATCTTTGAGTTGGCTCCATGCTGAAGATAAGCACTAGAACTCTAGGCAGCTTTGACATGATACTTATCCACTCAAGATGATGTAAATCATTGAGAAATACATAATTATGAATGTTATTTAGCGGCCTATTTTTCTCTCTTTCATTCTCTCACTGTTAGAAAGAGACTGAAGATGTAGACATTTTATCACTTTGGTTAAATAAGCTTGCTTTTTGGAAAGCCTCTGTTGTTTAATAACGGACACTGTACAGTTATAGTCATTGGGTCAGATTCCGATAAATGTTTTACTCTGGCCTTATTATCCTTCTGTGGTCCTTTACTTTTCCTTTCTAAGTTTGAGGTAAAGAAAGGTTAATTATCAAAAAAAAAAAAAAAACTAAAACTAAAACTAAAAGCCTATTCTGATTATTTGAGTTGTTATATGGGGTCGATATGCAGTGACTGTTCATTGTAAAACTGTATGAATTTGATCTGTGGGATTAAAGTAGTTCAATTCTGGCTGATCTTGTGTGTCGCTCTAGTCATAATTCAGAACTTATGAAGAGATTTCAAGTTGTTTCAGTCTCTCTCACATTATTTACTGTTGTAGATTTGCTTAATGGAATGTCCGATGGACATGCATACTGGAAAAAACACAGAAATTAAGATACACCTGGCGAGGAATTATTTAAGTTATAGATTGGATTCCATTAATATCTGTTGTCAATTGGACATGATGCTCTTATAGTGTTCTTTGCAAGAGATAACTGAATGATGCTGGCTGTATATCAGTTAAAAGGGCCTATTCAAGGATTATATTAACTGGTAGAATCAGAAAATTGCTCTGCTTCTATTCTTTAGGATGTCAGCACTTCTTTGGTAACTACAATCATAATAATAATCGTGAATTGAGGTTTAACATGATCTGGTATGTTCATCACCAATGTGTTCTTATTTTGTATCAGAATAATCTTTGGAATGCATGGGTAACAACATCAGAACTGCGGCATTCTGTCACCCTCAAGAGAATAAAGTTGCTACTGCTGAGGCAAAAATTGAAATTGACTTCCATCCTTAAAAGACAAGTACGTTTCGAAACTTCAAGTTTCTCCAAGTATTGAACCAAATCCTGGTAGACTTTTTCGTAGACAACTGTTTCTACTATCTGCTTATGGATTTACCTTCATATTTATCATATCACTTTCATTGTTTTTTTTAAAAGACAACATTGTTAGCGATACTATGATGAGAATGAGATTCTTAACTCTAGGACTTGATCTTATAATAAGGAATTTTGTAGTTTCCTACAGTGGTCAAGGGGAGCTGCCTGGCCTTTAATATCTAATAATCCACTTAGATACCTCCTTAGAAGCAGTCATAATTCACTTCATCATAAAATGAGTAAGCAATCAATATTGGTACTTATTAACACATAAAACATCGCAAAAAATGGAAAATTATAGTTTTTATTCTTGTATGCTGTAGAGAGTGGGCCAGTGTTTGATTTATATGAGTATCGTGCATCTTCTAGAGGTAGAGGAAGTAAGAAATCAAAAAGCAAATAATAAATCAAGGAAATTCAAGAAGAGAAAATTTTGTGCTGTTATATTTCTTTCCCAAAAGATAAAAAGGCTGTTGATGATTCCTTAGATCCTCCGTTGCCGTCCCTCACTTCTTACTACATGCTAGTTAGAACAGGCTTAATCCTTTCCAGTTGTCACGAAATGCTGGCTTTATAGCATGAATCCTCTTCATGACAAACTTTTTATAATTGGTGAATGTAGATAGCTCACTTAGAAGCATGGACAGTCCTCGAAAGAGACCACTCCGGCTCTTTGCTGGGAGCAACTGAAGCTTTAAAGGCTAGTACTCTTCGACTTCCAATTGTTGGAAAAGCCACAGTAAGTTCCGTCCCTTTTTTTCCTTCTACTTTTCAATGTGTTAATGATTCAGTTCATGACTATCGGCCTGGTTTAAAATGTTGCTCTTGTTCCTCTTTGTCTTCTCTGTTCTATTATAATAGGTCGATATCCAAAATCTGACGGATGCTGTCAGTTCAGCAGTTGAGATGATGCAGGCAATGGCATCTTGGATATGCTCACTATCATCAAAGGTAAAATTCATTAATTCAATTTTCTAGAACATTAGTCTTACAAAATAAAAATCATAAAGGTTTTTTACGTGGTAATTGTTTGTAATCATTGAGTTCTTTACAAGCCAGTTGTAATGTTATGGTCTCGGGATCTGATTTGAGTCACTACACGATTAATGAGAACGTCGGAAGTGATTGCCTTAACTTAATTCTTAGAGCAACCTATGATGTTGGATAGATCAGCTCTTTGAAGGGAGATTGAAACCTCGGGACTCTCTAAAAGAGAGCAAGATCTTTTAGTTTTTTTCTCTTAATTCTAACTTGTTTTATTCAATTATCAACTTGCCTCTTAAATACAGAGTTACACAGTTCAATTGGAAGACTTACTAACCAAGTAATCCTACTAAGGAAATACTTCTAAAAAAGAAAGAAATACTCGTAATCTCAATATTTTTCCTAATAATGATAAAACTGATATCGATACTATTATTTATCAAGAGAGTAGTTTCCTTTTAGAAACAGATTATTTGTGTTTGGCCTGACCTTGTACTTTTAAAAGGGAAAATCTACTTAATTATCTTAAGTATCATTTGTCCCTTGCAGGTGGAGGAAATGAATTCTTTGGTGGCCGAACTTGTGAGCTTGGCTGCAAAGGAGAAGGCTTTGCTTGAACGATGTAAAGACTTTTTGTCTGCGTTAGCAGCCATTCAGGTAAATACTGTGTTTTGTTTTATGTTCCAAGCTTTGTTTTATGTCTTCATCTGCCCCGTGTGGTTCATTATGAATCTTTTCAACAGGTTAAGGACTGTAGCTTGAGGTCACATATTATACAACTAAATCGTTTACCCACACGACCAGAAACCTGACGGCACGTGTGTAGAACTGATCTTATTTGACAACTCACCCTTAACGCTAACATTACATCCGATCTCATGTTTCTTGCAATAGATGGAGGCAGCACCCGGGCAAAGTCAGCGGACTGAATATATCTAGGCTTGTCTTCTCATTTTAGTAGTTTTAGAACCAGTTGTCTTCTTTCATGATCAAGTGGCTTTTCCTCAACTGATTTATGTATACGAGAACTCCTGATTTTAGGTAAAAGAAAGCGTTGTATGTATAAAATGTAAGCTCATCGATAACCAATCATCATGTATTTCTTGACCTACATAGATCAATTCTTAGCATGATATTGTTGATGCTTGTTAAATTTAAATCACATTCCATCTTTTCCTCTCCGAATGCACGAAAATGAACCCTGCTTCCTCTCCGAATCGAGTAAGCCTTGTTGATCAAACAGCCATTAACTGTTATGGAAATTGATAATAGACGGATTTTGTTTTCCATGCGTGCAAGACAAATTGAGATGGAAACTTGAAAACAATGAAGAGAATTCGAGTCATTTTCATTTCATTTTGGTTATGAACAGCTAACATGAATGGCTGCCTGCTCTGTATGCGTCTCCAATAAGCACCCCTCAAGTTCATTATACAGTAACCACTTCTTTCCTTACAGCATTGTAAAGTGGTTTGTTTCATGCCTATATATGCTTTCATTTAGCTAAATTAACATTAAACTAGTTCGAATTTAGTAAAAGCTCCATAAAACCAAACACCAAAAAACTCCATAAAATTGTGTGGCATATGACCATATGCTAGGTGTGGAAAGATAGGTCCCCAATCTCTCTTTGACCCATCACATGCTTCTACGACTTTGTTTGAACATATACTTCTAGATTATCCACTGCTCTCTCTACACTTTATATATTTCTCAAAATTTCAACATTAATAAAGATGAAATCCCATAAGTTTCATAGGATCAAGAGGATGAATGCAACTTGCAAGTCAATTTTAAGTAAAAAAAAAATATTTGTTATAAACAACCACGATAACGATTAAGAAACAAGAATAAAAATATAGATATATATGGTTACATGAAAAATCTTTAAAGAAAATAATTACGAGCATAGTAGAAGAATTTCACTATAATTGACAAAAAATTATAAGAGAACTATACTAGAATAATATTAATTTAATCTTAGAAGGCTAGATACGTGTATATAGTTGTGCGGTTCGAGGGCCTATGCATACACCATCGGTTCTCTTTTTTTTTTTACTCTTAATTTATCTATTCACTAAATAAATTGTAAACTTTAACACTGCTAGATAAACAATGTGATTGGCACCATTGAATCTTAGGAGGGACAGGACAAAGGGAAATACAAAATATAGACAATATGTTCTAAAGATGCTGCTAATACAACCCATTAGTGTACCATACGTTAAGGGGAAGGGGGGGATTACTTGGTGGACGACTAACGCAAATGCACATCAAATGCTACCATAAAAGTTTAAAATCAAAGTATATCAAGACTGATTTCCATCATGCCAACCATTTGACCACTTTTCTTTGTTTCTTTGCCATGCATCATGCCATACGTCGCATGCATCATTGACTTATTTATATATAGAAGAGAGTATATTATATATGGTAAAGTAGACAAATGGTCTCCAACTATAGGGTACTGTTTTGTTAAGTCATTCAATTATTAAAAGTTACAATGGTCCTCGGACTATCAAATATTGTTTTGTTAAGTCATTCGACTATTAAAAGTTATAAAATTGTCACATGACTATTCATTATGTTCCGAACTCATCATTTTCCTTTAAAAAATTGGTGGTTGCCTAAGTTATACGTTAACATAATGATTAAAATGCGATAGTCGTTTGAGATTCTATGATCATATTTTATCATATCACAATCATCAAGTTAACATTCTGCTCAGAATATCATCAATTTCTTAACGGAAAAGGGTAAGTTTGGAACATAATGAATAAACGGGTGACTATTTTGTAACTTTTCATAGTTGAGGGACTCAACAAAGCGATACTCTATAGTCAGATGATCATTTTATAACTTTTAATACTCAAGGGACTTAATAAAGCAGTACCTATAGTCAGGGGACCATTTGAGTACTTTACCCTATTATATATATGTTTGATTAATTATTGAGATATTTCTGTATTGTAACTAGTTTATTCACATTTAAACTTTCTTTTCTTTTCTTTCTTTTTTCTCTTAAATTGTTTTTCTATCGTTTTATGTCGACTTGAGAAATTGGATGATAACAGTATCTTTTGCTTATATGTCGATTTAAAAGGTGTGTCGGATAAGGTGCATAGCGATAAGTGATGTATATCATTTATTATAGGCTTAATAAGAAAGAAGAAAGAAAGTGCTAATTATATCTTTTATTTATTTTTTATGTTGAAATGTGTCTTCAATATTTTTCACGTTATTATTCTAAGTTTAATTTTATCATAACCGTTAAAAAAATTCGTTAACCATTTAAAGCGTGACACGTTTATAAATTTTAAAAATTTTAAAATTATTTTAAAAAAAATAAAATCATTTTTTTCTAAAATCTAAAAAAAACTACAATATCCAATCCCCAAACTCTTCACTGATTTTTTTGAAAACCCACCTGGAACAGAGTCAAGATTTTAGTTCAAGGGGATAAAATATAATTAACAATAAAAATAGGGATAAAATCAAAATAAATTAAAATTTAAAGGCCTAAATAAGTAATTATTCATATATTTTTTAAATAAAAATAAAGGAAACTAAACCCTAGGTAATGCGTAAAACACCGATTAATTGATTGAATTTTTAATGATTTTTTAATAATTACGACAGAATTAACTCTAAGATAATAAAAAAAACATTAAACATATATTTTTGATAAAAGAAAAGACTTTGTATGTTCAACGAGAAAAACATATTCATATATATTATCATCTTCCAATGCCATATTTAATCAAAACCCTAAATTATCATGAACCTCCGAATAGAGTTAAGATTTCACTTATACAACTTGGATGATAAAAAATAAATAATGTTAAATAATAAGAAATGAGTTGAACTTTCTAATGATTCATAAAACTATTCATTAATTGTTAATAATTTTTTAATATAATAATTTACTAATAATATATAAAATTTATATGTTATCAGCACATTCGATACTAACCCCTTCATATAATAGTTTATATAAAGTAGGCAAATGTTAACCCAAAGATCGTATTTTTTGTTTTTCCCCTGATAGGCTAACAATTTTATTTATTAATTAGTCCAATAAAACATATAGAGGTTTATTTTGGGATTTATTATATTTATTATAGTAACTTAAAACTCATCACATCGACTTGAAGAGTTTCAATAAATTATTTTTATTCTACCTTTTTATTCCGACGTGATAAAATTTAATAAAAAATTATATTTTATTGAAACTCGTCATCTCGACGTGACGAATTCCTTAAATACTATAACAAATGTCGGAGATCTCAAAATAAACTTCTATATGTCCTATTGTACTAATTAATAAAATCGTTTGTCTTGTTGGAAAAAAACCATTTTTTTGGGCCTTTAATATTCCCTGTGGGTTTTAATTGTCGGTGATAAAGCGGGCTAAACTAATCTAACAAGTCCACTCTAGTTTGATTGAAAATATTAAAATAGTAATATAAATTAAACTTAAAATATTAATATGTAAATATTAATATTATATAATATGAATTTCTAAAAAGTTCGTGAATTCTCTACTAACCGAATCAAATCATATTTAAATATTTATAAATTGCATAATATATTTTAATTATATAAACATTGAAAAATATGAAAATTTGTAAAATAAAAATAAAAATATTAAAAAATATTATTTTCTTGGTTAATTGATTTAATATGTAAAAAGATAAAAGGTTAAGAGTAAAAAAAATAAAAGTAAAAAATTTAAGCTTTAAAATATTTTTATATGATTTTAAAGTTAGATAAATATGAGTAAAATATACAAATAAAGTTGACAAAAGAGTGTTGGCACAAAGTGGTTGGGATTTAAGAATTTGAGTTTGTAAGGTCAAGTTCGAATTTTACCACTGTCATTTTTTATATATACAAACTTTGATTGGGTCTTAGATATGCCCTGACCTTTGATTGGGAGAACTACCTCTAATCTAAACTTTATTTGTACCAATATATATATATACAAACAAATAAAGTTACTCAAATCCATATCGAAATAACTTTTTTATAACTGTAATGACTTATTAATTTAATAGATAATATATTTCTAAAAGATAACAAGTGAATAGTGATAATAACTAGTGAATTAAAACATCAAAATTAATTTACTCGAAAACTGATTTTCATACACACAAATATTCTCCATACTTACCGAAATGTAGCAGTCAAAATAATGGTGATCAAAGTAAAAAACATGCTAAAATTTGTCCAAAACCGACCTAATATATTACTGTATCCCTACATAGTACACATGCCACTTGCAAATAAAATAGGCCAATTTGCAGTTCTTCGAATGCCCCAAGTTTTTATTTTCCTCTCCATTCAGTTCCCTATATTATATCCTAAAATATTTTATGAGAAGAATCTGTATTGAAGTCAACTATAAGAGCAGAGCACAGAACTGATTGATCCACTTTCTAACAAGTACTGAGAAATAAATGGAAAACAAATAAATTAGGCTGTATGAATTATCTTTGCATGTGGGAAAGCTAGTCTCATACCTGGAATAACAGTCAGTAGAGAAAGGAATGCTACATAACCCTATGAAAATAAAGGATTAAACCAGCTAATCGACAATAACCAGCTCAAAATAAACGAGAGGAAAGGCTAATAGAAAAGCAATATGCCTTTTTCTTCCTCTAGTAAGAAGTACGTATGTCATTTTGAGCAATAACCATGCCATGGGCCTCTTCCATTAGCTTTCTCCTTTTGTACCATATGTCATTTATTAGAGTTGATTGATCCATTTTCTAGCAAGTCCTGAGATATAAATGGAGAATAAATGCTACAATAACTTTCTTTTCTCTTTTCATTTGGTTCCCTATGTTGTATCCTAAAACATTTGTTAGAAGTGTATTGAAGTCAACTCTAAGAGCAGAGTATAGAGCTATTTGACCCACTTTCTAACAAGAACTGAGAAATAAATGGAAAACAAATAGATTAGGCTGTATGAATTATCTTTGCATGTGGGAAAGCTAGTCTCATACCTGGAATAACAGTCAGTAGA